TTTATCTTCCATCGCTTTGGCCTTTTTATTACATAGAGGAGGAATAAGACTAGAGTATTTCATCACTTTTTCTGCCCAACATTCTTGTTCTGAATACAGATTTTTGTAAAACTTGTGAGTTAATTGTAAAATACGTGATTGGTCTTTAGTGATTTCACCACTGTCCAACTCTAATTGATTTATTGATTTCTGGGTAGCATGGATTTTCTCCAAATTTAAGAAATAACGCGATGGTTTCTCTCCATGTTCAATCCAACGGGCTTTTGCTCTAATTCTACTTGCTTCAATTTTATTTTTTCTTAAGTCTTCCAGTTCTTTTTTGGCATTTTCATAAATATAAAAGTTCTCTTGGGTTACTAAATTTTGTTTGGATATTTCCCGCTCTGTATCATTAATAAAATATTCCAATTCTTTTTCTTTTTTCCGATTTTCTTTTTTCAAACGAGAGGAAAATGGTATTGTGACGCCCCTGATGTCCAAGAGTAACATTTCAAAAAACATCTGATCATCAATTATAGATTGGAAGTTCTCATTTTTTATCTTACTAAGCATTTCAAAATTATAGGGAGAAGCCATACATTTTTCTTTGGTCTGCCTAATTGAATTTTTTACACGTGTAAGGTGTAAGGTGTTGGATGGATTCTGATCGTGAGATCGAAATCGGGAGTTTGAGACCTGACACCCGTCCCATTGCTTCTGTCCTTGGGCAGAGCAGTTTACTTACGTTGCCTCTCTCCACATGGTAGCATGGTGTGGCATTGAACGTATTAGGTTGTTGCCTGTAAAACAGGGTGACTTGCGGTGCTCCTTAGGGCACAGGTGGCAAAGTGCGGCACGCCAGTGATTTTTTTGCGGCCCGCGAAAATAATTTACAAACCCTATGTGTTGCGGCCTGCCTTTGGCTAGAAAACACGTTGTTTTTGCGGCCTGGCACCAAGCATCTGTAAAGAGTAAAGTAAAGGTGTTGGATGAAATGAAATGGAGTAAATAAAAAAAAAATATTTAAAAAAATCTGCCAAAGCTTGGCATCCGCCTAAAGCAATGCAGTGGAACTCAGAACCCCTTCATTGATCTTATGTGATCTCAGCCCGTTTGCTCTCAAATAATAATGTATAAATTAAGTGAAATTTCTATGGAATTAAAGAATCGAAATGAACATCATATTGTTTTATAGCAGTTTATTCATTATACAGAACATTTTAAAACATGATGAAACTATTGTATTTTGTATCTTAATACGAATTACAGTTAAATTTTAGAAACATGAATAACCGGGAACGGGATTGTACTTTAGACATTGTGTTGCAACAAGAAAAGTGTCTAGAGTTTGTATAAATGCCTGTGATTGCCAATATGTATAGGCCTACTGTACTACTAATATACTACACAATATAAATTAAAGATCCATTGAGTGATTTTATAAGAACAACGGTGAAGTGAACATTCTCGGTGGAATGGAAGTCGCCCGTAGTTTTGCAAGTCAAAACTACAAACTGGTTGAGCTGAATTCGAGCAATCATCGACGTGTAGAAATGTCAATAAACCTCATTAGCCACCTCAGAGGGAAGTGGGGGAAGAGGCCAAAATCTGGGGGGGGGGGCGCATTGGTGACGCCACTGAAATGTATTCCTATACAAAATGTATTCCTTGTCTTAGAAAAATTATATCCTGATTTAACAACGTAAGGTATTGCATGGGGGTGTTCTGATATCTTTTGGTTCTGTAATTATGGTAGATTTAGTATTCAACCTAGTATTATAGGTGTTTATTACTTAAAATAATCTTACAGGCCCTCTTCTTGATCCGCTCAATGCATGCGGGATCCAATAAAATGCAAGTCCGAGTGGGGACAAGGTCTACAGGAGGTACACCATTAGTGTTTAATGGCTCTTAAAATATATAATTTACTACTTGCCTTGACAATATTATAATCACCATATGAATCCCATTTGAGAATAGCTTGAAGGATAACTACAAGTACTTTAACATTGTCAACTGTTTTTAAAAAGTGGCCATTCAGATCAATAGATTGATGAAATAGAGTTACTTTTGCTAAAACTAATGTCCATAGTGCTACATTGATCATGTTACGTTTTAAAGCCTAATCATGTAGCACAGTTGCACAGTGCACACGATTGAAGTTCAGGCGGATTCACAATTTTGCGATGCTCGATTAAACAAAGATCAACGACATATTTAAATTGTTTCGCAGGATTATATTTTACATTAACTCACTGATGTGACAGATATGTCAGATCTAAGGCATTAAGAAAGCTATTCAACCAACAAATTTAGACAAAATATTCTGTTCAGTTCTCTCTTACAATGCAATGAATAAACAAAAATCAATAGTTACTGTCTGGTTTAGATATATTTGATAATAAAACAAATATTCCTTGCCTACATGACCTTACATGATTCTCTCCATCGCTTATATCAGATATGTTCCGCTTTAAATCAAAATTTCATCGTAAGCTTTAAAGTCGAGCCGCTGATTTCATTGGAGCTCAGTTCTACTAATTTATCTTACGTTGACATACATTATATTCGTGAAAAATGAAAAGTAGTGCTATGCAACTCCCTAACATCAGAATTCCAACTGGTTGATGCACCATTACTGTGATTACGATATTTAAATCAATCCGCATAAAATACAAAACTTTTGGATGCTAAACAGCATTTTAATGACCTGACAACGTCTATCATCGGGCTTCTTCAGAAAATCAATTACCGTATTATCCAATATAACATTCAAATCCAACATAGGAAGTCTACACAATTGATAAATATAACAAGAGTTGACTGGAATCCTTGACTTTCTGATTAAGATCCGGATTGTATGCGCTTCTTTTCGCTATTCAATATCATTATTATCAAATATAATATACGTGTAAAATTATGTTCACGCATATTACGATTCCCAGATTAGTGTTATTGTATGATATTTTCTAATTTAGTGAAATATATTATAGTTTTAAAGTTTAAGAATTACACACAGGCGGTATATTCTTATCAAGAGTCACTTTTTTGACTTAATATAATATGCTATCAGCTGAGATATAATATTTGAAATTTAATTAACAAACATTGTCATGCCTAATAAATATAAAATAAACAATGTTTGTTATCTAAACAAATGTGACACTAAATTCTAATTACAATTATTTTTTTTATTCTTTAGCTGACACAAAGAAATAAACCATTAGGAAAAAATAATAATTAATCCTGCAATTAAAATCTATAAAATTAATTGTAGTCATCGAAGAAAAAACGTTAAATAAAAATGTCACAGTATATTCAGTAATACATGCAGGGTTGTTATTTTATACTCTTTTACTTTTGCTCAGTATTAACATAGTAAAGGTAATGACGTGCTCTGCAGCTGACTTATTCCAATCATGTATTGTATAACCAAACACCGTGGAGGTAAGTTGCCATTCTAGAGATTGCAATCATAATCCCATAAAAATAAGCATCACGGCAAGCACTTGCAACTAAGTTTTCACTTATGATGGTACTTTACCGTCCTGCTATTAACGTAAGCTCTTTATTCTTTTGTGTGCTGCAGATCTTGATAAGTATGCTTCTCATCACTGGTATCTGCTGTGTATTTCATGTAAGTCTGTCGAGATATGAAAATCGAATAATTTAAATTAAAAATTGATAGACTACAGAATCAAACTGGTTGTTAATTGAAATGGATTGAAAACAGTAATGAATATAGATACTCAAGGCATTTTATAACTTGGTTTATTTATTTCATATACATTAGTAAAACATCAAATATTGTTAGATACTACTTTTTGTAAATGTAGTAGGAGAGAATCTACGGATGTGGGCAGAAGTGGAGAAAGATCTTGATAAATCAACTTAATTATTTTAAAACTTTACATGTATCAAACATATATAACTTTCATTATATAAGCCTGTTTCTTTATTCAATTTTTTTTTATTGCAAACAAATAAAAAAGAAGCAAAAGGACAGGTTCCACAGACTCAAGGTCCAAACAAAGGGAAAATGCCCAAGACATAAAACATCAAGACATCAGAAATAGATATAAAACTCTCATATATAAATTCAATATTAATTTTTTTGAATAAAATAGAACAATTTGGAAAGGAGACATAAAAATCACAAAAACAAAAAAGAGATGCAAAACTAAAAAAACAGGCCACAGTCAAGGGTTTCGCAGTGCACACCTTCCAGCAAATACCAGAAAAATTATCGAAATGTTTTAACTTGTATGTTTTAAGTATTCATATTATATTATAATATTTTGTTATTATGATATTTATTTCAATTTATCGTATTTGCTTTACTGACATTGACCGGTGGCCCCTGCTGCACCAGCCGCGACTCGACCTTTGTGGATGCGACTCAACATCTGCTGGCGTAATGCCAACTCCATCAAGCCACATACCCACACGTTCAAACAGTGCGTAAAAACTGCCAAACGATATCGAGCCACGACCGGTGCAACAGTTTTCCAATTTTTTAAATTTTTGTTTGTTTTTTGTTTGTTTTTTATTTATTTTTATTATTCAAGATGGAGATGAGATGGAAATAGAGATGTAGATAAGATGAGATAAGGCGGAAATGAAGATAGAAATGAAAAAGGAGATGAGATGGATATAAAAATGGAGACGAGATGAATATGAAGATCAGATGGAGATGACGAATGAGATAAAGATGGAGATATGAGATAAGATAGATATGAAGATGGAGATGATATGAGACAGATATGACGGTGGAGGTAGGGATGAAAAGAAGATGAGATAAGATAAGATAAGATAAATGAAATCAGACGTACTTTATCAATAGTACAAACAATTGCAAACATGAAATTTGGTGTCCTTAATAATAAAATTCAATATACAAAAAAATAGAAATAAAATAAGCCTAAAAAAGATAACATAACTTCAGGTAAGTTGCCATTCTAGAGATTGCAATCATAATCCCATAAAAATAAGCATCACGGCAAGCACTTGCAGCTAAGTTTTCACTTATGATGGTACTTTACCGTCCGGCTATTAACGTAAGCTGTTTCTTCTTTTGTGTGCTGCAGATCTTGATAAGTATGCTTCTCATCACTGGTATCTGCTGTGTATTCCATGTAAGTCTGTCGAGATATGCAAATTGAATAATTTAAATTAAAAATTGGTAGACTACAGAATCAAACTGGTTGTTAATTGAAATGGATTGAAAACAGTAATGAATATAGATACTCAAGGCATTTTATAACTTGGCTTATTTATTTCATATACATTAGTAAAACATCAAATATTGTTAGATACTACTTTTTGTAAATGTAGTAGGAGAAAATCTACGGATGTTGGCAGAAGTGGAGAAAGATATTGATAAATCAACTTAATTATTTTAAAACTTTACGTGCATCAAACATATATAACTTTCATTATATAAGCCTGTTTCTTTATTCAATTTTTTTTTGCAAACAGATAAAAAAGAAGCCAAAGGACAGGTTCCACAGACTCAAGGTCCAAACAAAGGGAAAACGCCCAAGACATAAAACATCAAGACATCAGAAATACATATAAAACTCTCATATATAAATACAATATAAATTTTTTTAAAATAAAATAGAACAATTTGGAAAGGAGACATAAAAAACACAAAAACAAAAAAGGGATGCAAAACAAAAAAACAGGCCACAGTCAAGGGTTTCGCAGTGCACACCTTCCAGCAAATACCAGAAAAATTATCGATTGTTTTAACTTGTATGTTTTAAGTATTCATATTATATTATAATATTTTGTTATTATGATATTTATTTCAATTTATCGTATTTGCTTTACTGACTTTGACTGGTGGCCCCTGCTGCACCAGTCGCGACTCGACCTTTGTGGATGCGACTCAACATCTGCTGGCATAACGCCAACTCCATCAAGCCACATACCCACACGTTCAAACAGTGCGTAAAAACTGCCAAACGATATCGAGCCACGACCGGTGCAACAGTTTTCCAATTTTTAAAATTTTTTTTTTGTTTTTTGTTTTTTGTTTGTTTTTTGTTTGTTTGTTTTTTGTTTGTTTTTTATTTATTTTTATTATTTACTGAATCTCTTAACAATCTCATGAGATCATCGAGCGATTCTGAACATTTTAAAAGAACTGTTTAAAACAGTATAATGAAAGTATACATGTTACTTTTATGCTGAGGTCTGCTTGGGTAACATTTACAAGTTACAAGGTGAAATAATGTGTAAATGTGAAATACAAACTCACATCTTGCTTTCTGGTGTGTGTACTTCGCATGGCTTCAGATTTCTTCTGAAAATACATTATAATCAAAAAATATTAATAGAAGAATTGCTATCAGATAATGCAAGCCAAATCAGGGCACGGCAAACCAAGGCAGGTCATGTTAGGACGGTAATGCAAGGCAGATGATATGGAGGAAAATAGATATTGAGATGAGATGAGGTTGAGATGGAGATAAAGAAATAGGTTGGGATGAAGATTGATATCAAGATGGAGATGAGATGGAAATAGAGATGTAGATAAGATGAGATAAGGCGGAAATGAAGATAGAAATGAAAAAGGAGATGAGATGGATATAAAAATGGAGACGAGATGAATATGAAGATCAGATGGAGATGACGAATGAGATAAAGATGGAGATATGAGATAAGATAGATATGAAGATGGAGATGATATGAGACAGATATGACGGTGGAGGTAGGAATGAAAAGAAGATGAGATAAGATAAGATAAGATAAATGAAATCAGACGCACTTTATCAATAGTACAAACAATTGCAAACATGAAATTTGGTGTCCTTAATAATAAAATTCAATATACAAAAAAATAGAAATAAAAAAAGCCTAAAAAAGATAACATAACTTCAGGTAAGTTGCCATTCTAGAGATTGCAATCATAATCCCATAAAAATAAGCATCACGGCAAGCACTTGCAACTAAGTTTTCACTTATGATGGTACTTTACCGTCCTGCTATTAACGTAAGCTGTTTCTTCTTTTGTGTGCTGCAGATCTTGATAAGTATGCTTCTCATCACTGGTATCTGCTGTGTATTTCATGTAAGTCTGTCGAGATATGCAAATCGAATAATTTAAATTAAAAATTGGTAGACTACAGAATCAAACTGGTTGTTAATTGAAATGGATTGAAAACAGTAATGAATATAGATATTCAAGGCATTTTATAACTTGGCTTATTTATTTCATATACATTAGTAAAACATCAAATTTTGTTGGATACTACTTTTTGTAAATGTAGTAGGAGAGAATCTACGGATGTGGGCAGAAGTGGAGAAAGATCTTGATAAATCAACTTAATTATTTTAAAACTTTATATGTATCAAACATATATAACTTTCATTATATAAGCCTGTTTCTTTATTCAATTTTTTTTTGCAAACAGATAAAAAAGCCAAAGGACAGGTTCCACAGACTCAAGGTCCAAACAAAGGGAAAACGCCCAAAACACAAAACATCAAGACATCAGAAATACATATAAAACTCTCATATATAAATACAATATTAATTTTAAAAAAATAAAATAGAACAATTTGGAAAAGAGACATAAAAAACACAAAAACAAAAAAGGGATGCAAAACCAAAAAACAGGCCACAGTCAAGGGTTTCGCAGTGCACACCTTCCAGCAAATACCAGAAAAATTATCGATTGTTTTAACTTGTATGTTTTAAGTATTCATATTATATTATAATATTTTGTTATTATGATAATTATTTCAATTTATCGTATTTGCTTTACTGACTTTGACCGGTGGCCCCTGCTGCACCAGTCACGACTCGACCTTTGTGGATGCGACTCAACATCTGCTGGCGTAACGCCAACTCCATCAAGCCACATACCCACACGTTCAAACAGTGCGTAAAAACTGCCAAACGATATCGAGCCACGACCGGTGCAACAGTTTTCCAAATTTTTAAATTTTTGTTTGTTTTCTTTTTTTGTTTTTTTTTTGTTTGTTTTTTATTTATTTTTATTATTTACTGAATCTCTTAACAATCTCATGAGATCATCGAGCGATTCTGAACTTTTTAAAAGAACTATTTAAAACAGTATAATGAAAGTATACATGTTACTTTTATGCTGAGGTCTGCTTGGGTAACATTTACAAGTTACAAGGTGAAATAATGTGTAAATGTGAAATAAAAACTCACATCTTGCTCTCTGGTGTCGGTACTTCGCATGGCTTCAGATTTCTTCTGAAAATACATTATAATCAAAAAATATTAATACAAGAATTGCTATCTGATAATGCAAGCCAAATCAGGGCACGGCAACGATTCCCTGATTAGTTTTATTGTATGATATTTTCTAATTTAGTGAAATATATTATAGTTTTAAAGTTTAAGAATTACACACAGGCGGTATATTCTTATCAAGAGTCACTTTTTTTGACTTAATATAATATGCTATCAGCTGAGATATAATATTTGAAATTAATTAACAAACATTGTCATGGCTAATAAATATAAAATAAACAATGTTTGTTATCTAAACAAATGTGACACTAAATTCTAATTACAATTATTTTTTTTATTCTTTAGCTGACACAAAGAATTAAACCATTAGGAAAAATATATTAATCCTGTAATTAAAATCTATAAAATTAATTGTAGTCATCGAAGAAAAAAACGTTAAATAAAAATGTCACAGTATATTCAGTAATACATGCACGGTTGTTATTTTATACGGTTTTACTTTTGCTCAGTATTAACATAGTATAGGTAATGACATGCTCTGCAGCTGACTTATTCCAATCATGTATTGTATAACCAAACACCGTGGAGGTAAGTTGCCATTCTAGAGATTGCAATCATAATCCCATAAAAATAAGCATCACGGCAAGCACTTGCAACTAAGTTTTTACTTATGATGGTACTTTACCGTCCTGCTATTAACGTAAGCTGTTTCTTCTTTTGTGTGCTGCAGATCTTGATAAGTATGCTTCTCATCACTGGTATCTGCTGTGTATTTCATGTAAGTCTGTCGAGATATGCAAATCGAATAATTTAAATTAAAAATTGATAGACTACAGAATCAAACTGGTTGTTAATGGAAATGGATTGAAAACAGTAATGAATATAGATACTCAAAGCATTTTATAATTTGGTTTATTTATTTCATATACATTAGTAAAACATCAAATATTGTTAGATACTATTTTTGTAAATGTAGTAGGAGAGAATCTACGGATGTGGGCAGAAGTGGAGAAAGATCTTTATAAATCAACTTAATTATTTTAAAACTTTACATGTATCAAACATATATAACTTTCATTATATAAGCCTGTTTCTTTATTCAATTTTTTTTTTATTGCAAACAGATAAAAAAGAAGCCAAAGGACAGGTTCCACAGACTCAAGGTCCAAACAAAGGGAAAACGCCCAAAACATAAAACATCAAGACATCAGAAATACATATAAAACTCACATATATAAATACAATATTAATTTTTTTTGAATAAAATAGAACAATTTGGAAAGGAGACATAAAAAAACAAAAACAAAAAAGAGATGCAAAACCAAAAAACAGGCCACAGTCAAAGGTTTCGCAGTGCACACCTTCCAGCAAATACTAGAAAAATTATCGATTGTTTTAACTTGTATGTTTTAAGTATTCATATTATATTATAATATTTTGTTATTATGATATTTATTTCAATTTATCGTATTTGCTTTACTGACTTTGGCCGGTGGCCCCTGCTGCACCAGTCGCGACTCGACCACTGTGGATGCGACTCAACATCTGCTGGCGTAACGCCAACTCCATCAAACCACATACCCACACGTTCAAACAGTGCATAAAAACTGCCAAACGATATCGAGCCACGACCGGTGCAACATTTTTCCAATTTTTCAATTTTTGTTTGTTTTTTGTTTTTGTTTGTTTTTTGTTTGTTTTTTATTTATTTTTATTATTTACTGAATCTCTTAACAATCTCATGAGATCATCGAGTGATTCTGAACATTTTTAAAGAACTGTTTCAAAAAGTATAATGAAAGTATACATGTTACTTTTATGCTGAGGTCTGCTTGGGTAACATTTACAAGTTACAAGGTGAAATAATGCGTAAATGTGAAATACAAACTCACATCTTGCTTTCTGGTATCGGTACTTCGCATGGCTTCAGATTTCTTCTGAAAATACATTATAATCAAAAAATATTAATACAAGAATTGCTATCTGATAATGCAAGCCAGATCAGGGCACGGCAACGATTCCCTGATTAGTTTTATTGTATGATATTTTCTAATTTAGTGAAATATATTATAGTTTTAAAGTTTGAGAATTCCACACAGGCGGTATATTCTTATCAAGAGTCACTTTTTTTACTTAATATAATATGCTATCAGCTGAGATATATTTGAAAATAATTAACAAACATTGTCACGGCTAATAAATCTAAAATAAACCATGTTTGTTATCTAAACAAATTTGACACTAAATCCTAATTACAATTATTTTTTTTTATTCTTTAGCTGACACAAAGGATTAAACCATTAGGAAAAAATATATTAATCCTGCAATTAAAATCTATAAAGTTAATTGTAGTCATCAAAGAAAAAACGTTAAATAAAAGTGTCACAGTATATTCAGTAATACATGCACGGTTGTTATTTTATACTATTTTACTTTTGCTCAGTATTAAGATACTAAAGGTAATGACGTGCTCTGCAGCTGACTTATTCCAATCATGTATTGTATAACCAAACACCGTGGAGGTAAGTTGCCATTCTAGAGATTGCAATCATAATCTCATAAAAATAAGCCTCACGGCAAGCACTTGCAACTAAGTGTTCACTTATGATGGTACTTTACCGTCCTGCTATTAACGTAAGCTGTTTCTTCTTTTGTGTGCTGCAGACCTTGATAAGTATGGTTCTCATCACTGTTATCTGCTGTGTATTTCATGTAAGTCTGTCGATATATGCAAATCGAATAATTTAAATTAAAAATTGATAGACTACAGAATCAAACTGGTTGTTAATTGAAATGGATTGAAAACAGTAATGAATATAGATACTAAGGCATTTTATAACTTGGTTTATTTATTTCATATACATTAGTAAAACATCAAATATTGTTAGATACTATTTTTTGTAAATGTAGAGAGAATCTACGGATGTGGGCAGAAGTGGAGAAAGATCTTGATAAATCAACTTAATTATTTTAAAACTTTACATGTATCAAACATATATAACTTTCATTATATAAGCCTGTTTCTTTATTCAATTTTTTTTTAATTGCAAACAGATAAAAAAGAAGCAAAAGGACAGGTTCCACAGACTCAAGGTCCAAACAAAGGGAAAACGCCCAAGACATAAAACATCAAGACATCAGAAATACATATAAAACTCACATATATAAATACAATATTAATTTTTTTTGAATAAAATAGAACAATTTGGAAAGGAGACATAAAAAAAACAAAAACAAAAAAGAGATGCAAAACCAAAAAACAGGCCACAGTCAAAGGTTTCGCAGACTCAAGGTCCAAACAAAGGGAAAACGCCCAAGACATAAAACATCAAGACATCAGAAATACATATAAAACTCTCATATATAAATACAATATAAATTTTTTTAAAATAAAATAGAACAATTTGGAAAGGAGACATAAAAAACACAAAAACAAAAAAGGGATGCAAAACTAAAAAACAGGCCACAGTCAAGGGTTTCGCAGTGCACACCTTCCAGCAAATACTAGAAAAATTATCGACTGTTTTAACTTGTATGTTTTAAGTATTCATATTATATTATAATATTTTTTTATTATGATATTTATTTCAATTTATCGTATTTGCTTTACTGACTTTGGCCGGTGGCCCCTGCTGCACCAGTCGCGACTCGACCATTGTGGATGCGACTCAACATCTACTGGCGTAACGCCAACTCCATCAAGCCACATACCCACACATTCAAACAGTGCGTAAAAACTGCCAAACGATATCTAACCACGACCGGTGCAACGTTTTTCCAATTTTTGTTTGTTTTTTGTTTTTGTTTTTTGTTTGTTTATTTTTATTATTTACTGAATCTCTTAACAATCTCATGAGATCATCGAGCGATTCTGAACTTTTTAAAAGAACTGTTTAAAACAGTATAATGAAAGTATACATGTTACTTTTATGCTGAGGTCTGCTTGGGTAACATTTACAAGTTACAAGGTGAAATAATGTGTAAATGTGAAATACAAACTCACATCTTGCTTTCTGGTGTCGATACTTTGCATGGCTTCAGATTTCTTCTGAAAATACATTATAATCAAAAAATATTAATAGAAAGAATTGCTATCAGATAATGCAAGCCAAATCAGGGCACGGCAAACCAAGGCAGGTCATGTTAGGACGACAATTCAAGGCAGATGATATGGAGGAAAATAGATATTGAGATGAGATGAGGTTGAGATGGAGATAAAGAAATAGGTTGGGATGAAGATTGATATCAAGATGGAGATGAGATGGAAATAGAGATGCAGATAAGATGAGATGAGGTGGAAATGAAGATAGAGATGAAAAAGGAGATGAGATGGATATTAAAATGGAGACGAGATAATATGAAGATCAGATGGAGATGACGAATGAGATAAAGATGGAGATATGAGATAAGATAGATATGAAGATGGAGATGATATGAGACAAATATGACGGTGGAGGTGGGGATGAAAAGAAGATGAGATAAGATAAGATAAGATAAATGAAATGAAATGAGATCAGACGCACTTTAACAATAGTAAAAACAATTGCAAACATGAAATTTGGTGTCCTTAATAATAACATTCAATATACAAAAACGTAGAAATAACATAAGCCTAAAAAAGATAATTCATTAAACAGATACAAACTATTTATCATATTACTAACCGATTTTAAACCATAAACAAGATTGTTATTATTTGACAAACCTGTTTAATCCTAATGTAGCCGATCAATCCAGCCGCTAGTCCGAAGCAACCAACAAGGACGCCAACAAAAAGCATTCCAATAGTCAGGGCTATACGACTAGATGGAACTGAATGAAATACAACCTTAGATCATCAATTGATATAATTCAGGGGCGGATCCAGAAATCGGGAGGAGGGGGACAACAGTTTTTAGAAGTGAGTAACACATACAGTAACACTGATATATATTGAAATTTTACAAATTTAGTGTCAAAACTGGATCCGCCCCTGTAATTATAATAGCAATTCCAGTACTGATAGTAATTGTTATTGTCGTGATGGAATAATAGACAATAACTGGATTTGCGTCAGGAGAAACATCCCATGTATAGGTGTAATTTTGCCCTACCTGACGTGGAAATGTACCGAATACTCAGTACATTTGAAAACAACTGCGAAAAAAAAATCGCAAGTTGTTCTCGGGTGGGACTCGAACCCATGCACGATCTCCAGATCACTAGCCTGGCATCATACCTCTAGACCTCCGAGCTTGTGCCTGATGGCCAGGGTTGAATTCTATGGGTGAGGTGTAGTATGTAGGCGATGTAAATTAAAGAATTTGTGAAATCAAGCTTCTACTGCTTGAAAACCCCACTTAAAACAATCTATGAACAGAAACAGACACAACAAAATGTAGCAGTATGCATCTCTTGGCTTTTACATAAAAATTTTCCTCAAAGAGCATGTCATCTGATCTTGTACAAAGTTTATATCCCATAACCATTCCCTTTAAAAACATAAATCTGCCTCCGGTTCAATATGATTTTATGGATTTATGAACTAAAAATTTGCAATATATGGCTCTAAAAAGAAAATAAATAAAACTGATTTTATAGGTTCAATATTCTTTAAGTTGTCTTTGTACTTATTCCTAATTTTATAATTAACATCTGTTCTTGGAACATAACAAAACAAGTATTAATATAGCTATAAGTGTATTAATATAGCTTAGGTGGCTGCATAGTTCATTGATAAGAACATGAAATATCCAATGGCAGATCCAGGAATTTAAAAAAGAGGGGCCCCAGGGAGGGACATTTATAGATGGAAGGTGTAGACCACCTCAGGCCCACTATGGTTGGGGCTGAAGTACAAAATTTTATGCCTACAGTAGCACTAGATGGTCGGAAATGGCACTGTCTGACTTAAATTTTAATACTTTTCAAAATTCAGGAAGGCCCTACTCCCCACCCCCCACAACCCTTTGAATCTGCCTATGTTTTTTTTCTGCCTATATGTATTTTTTTATGTAACAGTTTTACTACGTATTCTGGTTGTGATGTGCAATTCATGGTACCACTAAGTCTGTGAGTGTATAATTATGTTACTATGTTTTTAAAGTACCTGCTACTTGTAAAATGATTACAAGAATGCTCCTCCATGGTAGTCTGCATGGACATAATAAATTAGTGATAAACGTTGCTTTGGCTTGCCCATCTGCATAGGAAGCTACATATGGCATACCCAAATGAAGTTCACTGGTTGTTGTTCTGTGATGTCATAACCCATGGGATGAAGTGGTGGACAATCAAGCAAGCAAGGTATGCAAACCCATGGAGGAAATAAACTACTTTATTGTGCCTTTTCGTTGTTATATTTAGCATTTATTGACCAAAATCTCATATACTAACCTTCTTTTTTTTTTTTAGTTAATTGCTACTTTCATTGGAATATCTAAGTTTTATTAGTTTTTCAATAAATAAGGTATTTGTATCTTAACTTTACAAAATGCAGTCTTCTCCAGGGGCGGATTTAGGGGGGGGGCCGGCCCGGCCCCGGCCCCCCCTTTTGGGAGGGAAAAAAAAGAAAAAAAAAGGGGAAAAAAGAGAGAAAAAGAAAAAAATGATAGCCCAGAATGCCTCAAATGTTATGTTCGGGCGTCTAGAACACAGAAATTTCGCGGGGGCATGCCCCGGACCCCCTACGACAGTGTTGTCTCAATCGGCCCAACTTTCGGCCCTCCTTCCGGCCCCCCCTTTTGGACATTTCTGGATCCGCCCCTGTTCTCACTGTAGGCTGATTGATAAACTGATTGATAAATAAGTATACAACAATTCAACAAATACCTTGGTCTGATCTGATTGAGGACACCAATTTGCCATCTGTAATGCCTCATTGCTTGGTATGTCCCATTTCAGACCACACAAAATTTCGGGAAGTTCTATTTTGAATAATCTGTATCCTTTTTAGGGAAGTTTGTTTAGTTTTCCCAGACTACATTACAGGACTTACAGCCATGGTTACAGCATACACGCAAAGATCGTACGCGGCGGATACCCTACGCGGCGCTATTTACACGATCTTTTGTTACTTTTTCGCCAGTGACATCATGGTAAAATCGTATATAATCGCCTATAACTTCATTAAAAAAAGCCAAAAAACGATTTTAAGTTTGATTCTATTATTAATGGCATATCAAAAGTCCTCTCTAGAACAAAAAATCATTTTGCTAGTTCTCTTTTAAAATACGGCCATTTAACGTCATATAAGTTAAATCTTGGTATATAAAAGTAACATAAAGAGAATTATATATTTTTCATACTCCCATTATTTTAATAAAAAAAAGTTTATAAAAAAATGGTTATAAAATATTATTTAATAGCATTTTGAATTACCTTTACAGGTCTTCAGTGGTTCTGTTGCATTAACTTCTCCATTCTCTGCATAGCATGTGATGTTTAATTTACAAATATCTTCATAAATTTTCATGAATGCAGTAAGTGTCCCATTCTCAATCATTTTTCCATCTTTGTAAATCGTTACAGAAGACGGGTTGGGATAACCCTCTGCAGTGCATGTTGCGGTGTCATCTTTTGATTCAAATGTAATTGTAAGATCTATTTCAATTGAGAAAGTAATCAGGTTTGGTTAATATGAGAAATTTTTTTCAAGTTTTTTAAATACATTATAAAAAATAACTACAAAACAAAATTTAATGACAAGAAAGATCGACATTTCGGGTCCATCATGGAACCATTCTCAAGATCAAGTAAATTGAAAAAACTAAAAACAAAAATACCAAGCAGTGGAGCTAAGCAATAATTAGCCCTTCTTAGCAGATTAACTTGATAAACAGTTTGGCTGACTGAGTAGCCTGGTTCACGTCGAACATTATCTAGATAAACCCGTCTTGAAACATGATACGATAATCCCCTAATTGCGTTCGATACCAAGTTAGAGCCAGAAACAGCCAGCCAGTTTCAGGCCGTCGACGTCACACGGTGGAAAGGCTTGTTTAATAAAACATCTACTGGATTTTACGAACCTCTAGTACCAAGTGGTATTCGTTCAAAAAAAATGTAAACTACTGTAGAGAAGGTGTGAGTTTCCACTACCTAACCTAGCCGATCAGTACGAACCAACGACAGTGCAACAGCATTTCTATCGCCATCTAAGTAGTAGATTCTCTAGGCCCTAGCTAAATTGACCTGAATTGGGTATAATACCCCATTCAGACTAGCATCGCATTGCGATCGGTTGTAGCAATTGCGACACCCAATCGCAAAGTAAAATTGTGTGTGAAAGCTCACCAATAGTAGTCGATATGTAATCGATATCGCAATTGTTACCCGTTGCGATTGGGTGCTACAATCTTTATTACTCCCGATTACCACGGAATCCGATCGCAACGAATTCCACAGGTACTGTTTGGCGGAGGTCAGGCAACGTAGGCCTAGCCACCGGAGGTCTAGGCCTTAGAATGTAAAGTTTGTTTGTGTTGGTCTGAATGCGTTCGTTGATTGCGATCGGGAGTAATCAGTTTTGGATTACCACCGATTACATCGCAACCGATCGCAACAGAGTGTCTGAATAGGGTGTAAGTTGCTGACTTCCACACACTTTTTATTTCGTCATCGTAAACATGTGCGCTCATTTTAACGACTGGCGTTGGTGGTAGTTCGTTGAAACTGAATTAATAGCGACTATTATAACAGAATTAATAGCGACTATTATAGCAGAAATGGAAAAGATTAAATTGTCAATAAATAAATACAACAAATCTGATTTTTGTTATTAAGAAAAATATACATTATCACTTTGAAAAACGTACGCAATCGGACTTTTTAACGTTATTACTTGGTCGATGATGCAAAGGTCATTGGTAATATCGACTATTCGTAAAACGGACGTTTGCTGGGTTTTTACCCATAATATTAAAAATAATTTCTGAAAACCAGACTAATGAGACTATTTCGATGCTGTTGTTAGCATTGTTGGAGTACGTTGTTGCCAGCAGCGTGACCACTTCTTGGGTATTTACCCAAGATCTTGGGTATTTTGACTTGGTCTTGGGTTCTTGGGTATTCCGTTCAAATCCTTGGGTATCTTATTTTTACTAAGAAAATTAAATATTTTTGTCATAGAGGAAGAATTAAGAAGTAACAAAAGTATATTTCAGTCCATTCAAGTAAGCAAAACTCAACGAAGTGCACATAACATTGTCAACAAAAGTATATTTCAGTCCATTCAAGTAAGCAAAACTCAACGAGGTGCACATAACATTGTCAATTGACTGTTAATTGCTATAAACTTGGGTTCAGAATTGTTTATTTGTGATTTGCGTTGCAATTGATCTTACCTAATTAATGCATTACGTAATAAAACTTGATCACTGATCTACACTGATAAACTGGCCGACTGAGGGCGTTTTTTTCTATCCGTATTATTACCGCATGAACATGAATTTTAAAGTAACACGAACAATTACAATAAAAAATGGTTTATAAATTGAATTAAAATGGAAACTTTTAAAAGATTTTAATGCATTTTCAGGAAGCTTGGGTAATTTTGGGCAATTTTTGCTGAATCTTGGGTAATTTCGACGCAGTCATTGGGTATACCAAAAATTGTGAGTGGTCACGCTGGTTGCCAGCCAGCAGATGATAATGGTGGTACAATACAACAACGCTGGCTTAGATGCCTACGTTACGTAATCGTGTCCTTGTAATCCGAGCCGACTTTACCGTTAAGCAAGTTAATTTACCGTTATTCTAGTAAAGTTAAGTCACTTAACTTACAGTAAGTGACTTAATTCCTTTATCTAGCTATAATTGAGTGGTTCACGTCGAACTTTTAACTAGTTAAGTGGATCTATATCTAGATAGAAGTTCGACGTGAACCAGGCTAATCAGTTTGGTAAGTGTAGGTCTCAGTTCTTTGATCCAAAGAATTTCTTTGATTAAGCAATCAAACTTGGATTTGCACTTAGATAAAACCTTAGAAATAATTAACAGTTTCAGTAGCACTAATATCATGATCTTTTAAATGTTGTCCTATGTTACCATTACAGCAAATTCTTTACCTGAAAATGTGTCCTTATGGCGATAAGAGAGTAAACGTGATGAAGCCACACATTCATTTTATACAACATTTATGGTGTTGATACAATAACTGTACTCTAATAAATGGTAATGTGCCTATTGACATGATACTTGGGCAAGACAAATAAAACCACAATGAGTAAAAAGCAATTAGCAACACACTTTCTTGAAAAAGAGGTGCTCATTAACTGATTATTTTTCAATACGCTTGAACTGAAAATTTAAATCACAGAAATTCAACAGATAAAAGAAAAAAAAATTAAATATACACATACATATTACTTTCAATTCAATTTGATTACTGGTTTTGCCCTCTTCTCCTCTGAATTGATCACTTTCAGCTTTGCATGTATACCTGCCACCATCAGCTGCACTTGAAGCTTCAATGTGTATTTCAAGAGCATCTTCACTTGTAGTAAATCTATTGGTGTCTATGGTGCTGAGTGCTTGTCCATCTTTATACCACGTGATACTAGCGTCTGGGTCACCATCAGATTTACTACAGGTCAAAGTCACTGATTCACCTTCATAGACACTGCTTACTGAGGCAGACAGTACAGGCTCATCTAGGTCTGATACAAATTATAGTACTCAAATAAATACTTAAAACAAATAATGTACAAGTATAAGGTTACACTTAACTTGTTATTAAATTAGTGATTTAATTGATATTAATTTTAAACAAAAATAGATCTATCAAATGTATCACTTTGTTTACTATAATTTCCAATATGATTTGATTATATAGGTGGATCTGTAGAGCATTTCAATTAACTTTTTTTCTAAAAACCAGCATAAAATTTTGTTGATTTATGCTTTGTAAACTGTTACAACAGTAATACTACTATAATTCTGTCATTATCACAACAAAAATTTTACTTTACTAATATCCAAAAACTGCTTCTAAAAGTTAGATTTTAACCAAACATATCAATTTGTTTGGTCTACTCTATTGCAAAAGCGCCGCCGTGAAAATCACCTCCCTTAACCATTAGCACTTCTTTTGATTTTGCTACGAAACCTGTAACTCAACTAGAGGTCGGATAAATTAGGTAAAAAACAGTTTATAGAAGGTTATAAATATAGCTATTGCAAACCATTTACAAAATATTTGTTTTCAAATATTTGGCCACGTCATACGTCATTTTTTGGTTGAAGTACTTATTATTTTTTACGTCATAGCTTTGCCTACACTAATCCGATTGCTTAGGGTGAAGCAGCACATAAAGCTAATTTTCTTGAGATCATTTATATAAAAATTAACCTAATTGAATAAAATTTTTGTAGTTCTATCAAAAGCATTCAAGAACAAAAACTGCCCGGGCTCACAGCTAGCCAGGGGAATCGGCCAGTGGTGTCACACAGTTTGTGGGGCCCTGGCGCTCACTGTTATTGAGGCCCTAATATGCGAGCGAAGCGAGGGTTAAATTTGCGAGCGGAGTAAACAAACGAATGCTTGGGGCCAGGGGGTGTGTAGGGCCCCGGTCAGGATCCAGGGGTTAAGACCCCCTGGTGGGGTCCGAGGGGGCTTAGCCCCTTCGCGCTAGGAGCTTATGGCATTTATGAACTGTTAACTGCGTTGTCAGGGAACAAAAGTATGGTCCATGACTATTGAAATATATCAGATAATTTTATGACAAAACCAACATAGGTTACATAGGCCAACTTTCGGAACTGGTATAGACCTATAGTAGGCACACTGTATGTACTCTATGTAGATGTAAATTAAAACAAAATAATTTAGTGAAAACAAAACACGTTTAATAACATATATACAAACTGGTAACGCTCGACATCGATCATGTGTGCTTCACAAGACAAACCGCAACATAAACAAAAAACTGCAGCGATCGTTTACATGAGCCCCGAGCAGTGGCGAACCGTGGGGTGAATTGCAGGGTATGCTAGGTATTGGCATATCTAGGATGTACAAGGGGCCGCACGTCCTCTCTTACCCCTGAAAAAAAATACTCGCCCATCCCCCAGTTACGCTCCGCCCACAAATCCTGCTCAAGTAATTAAATAGACTTGCCACAAGTCTCTTATTTTTTATTATTTTTCTCATTCTGGACAGCGCCACCAATGAGAAAGTTAATTTAGAGATAATTTAGAGATAGACGGAATAAGCGACTTGTAAAACACTGAAGTCAGGCACCAGGATGCCAAAAGAATGACGTAATCTTATATTCCGTATTTGGATAAATGGGCGGACTGAAATAAACAATTTCAACCAATCAAATGTTCATATTTTTGGAGCCACGAAACTGAGTCACTCGCCGCTCGCGTCGACTAGTTAGGCATGACTAAATTTAAATAGTCCTCCTTAATAAAACTGGGCTAAAATATTTAGAATAGACCCTAGTAAGACTAATTTTTGGCAATAGCAAAAACAATTAAGCCTAGACTAGATGGCATACCATATATACAAATACAAAAATAATGTTAACTTTCCAGGAGGATGGCTCAGGCCTCGTCTGGAGTCAGCAGGAGTAGTCCCAGGTAACAAGCCCATAAGGGACCCACATGGTGCCCATATGCAGATCTATAT